CTTCTCTAAATCTTAGAAGTGATCCGAATCCAAACTATTTTTCGATTAATAAATTGCTTACGACATCTTAATCTGAAGAACGGTCGATATACGTAAAGATAAAGCGTAAAAAGCATCAACAAGCAACGCAAGAGAAATACGCATCTTAAAACCAAAAAGGTATTTGAAACCACCAAAGAACCTCCTAAGAAAAAAAATATATAATTTCTCAAAGACCACATTAAGTAAGAAAAATGTTTATAAAAGAATACGCAGATCATCACAATTCTGGCGAAAATTCTAGCAGCACATAGCAAAAGGCCTTTTAACGTAGAACCCAACCAGATTTTCCAAGGAATGGCACAAAACAAAGTAGGAATTAGGACTAAGTTACTGACCTTCTCCATAAAACCCTAATCTGAAGCAACTGTCATGAACTCTGTCTTCTTTAGCAGGGGAGCCGATTCGGTTCCGCGGAATCTACTGAAGAGGATAGGCCCAACAAAGAGAAAAAGAAGTAGAATTCTTCAATGGTAAACTTAGGATGGAATCCCTGATGGCTAATGGACTTCAGCGGCAAAGAAGCCGGCCGGGGTTTGAAACGCCTTCGAGGAAGAAGACGGAAAATGTGCGCATCTGCGAATTCTACCCTAGCCCTGCTTCTATTTATAGGCCTCGATTCAGAAGGAGGATGTTCATTTACACGTCAGCAATCATTCCAATTGCGCGCGAATATCGTTGGCTACTGATTGGACATCTCTTTGTGACCATATTGCTAGACCAGCCGTGTTTGTTGGAGCCTAGTTATTTTCTGATTGCCACGTCACTAGAGTAAGGCCTGTTATGAACAGTTCGGTCGATCTGCTGGTGTATATCAGAAAACAGGCCATCGGTTCTCCAGTACAATTAACATGGGAATCATGTCTTAATTGACTACACACGCACGCATACAAGGAGAGAGATGCGGAGAATATGAAGTCATGCAAAAGTTGGGTCTCGTTGAATAGCCAAAATATGACTATCCTATGATTGTGATATTTGGTATTTTGGTTCTCCATTTTAGTTTGATCTTGCTCAAATTTTTCTTAGCGTTATCAAGCTTGAAAACAAAATGGGCATTTTGGGAGACATACTTCGTTGGTGTAACGCAATGAAGTTGTTGAAAATGCTTGGAGAGAAAGAAAACTCATTCTAAAGCCTTTTTTTATGCGCTGTGTGGTTTGAAGGAATTGATGAAGACAGAATTACATACATATATACATACACATACCTACATATAAATACATACATAAATAGATATATAAAATACATTTATAAATACATAAATATATATACAGGTATATGTATGTATGTGTGTGTATAAAATACAATCAGACAGAGACACACACACACA